ACTTGACTTGCAGCTGAGTGTCGCCTTTATATAGCAGTCGGCTGCTCGCAGACGAAAGCGTAGAAGCATCGAATTGTTCGCTATGGAAGGTTCTTGTTTTATCGTTTCTAGAATGTACTAGTTATCGGCTTCTCTCTTTCATCTGACATTCGCCTCGCATTTTCGCAACAATATATATATATATATATAATTTGCATTTTGTAACCGCTGATGCGATTTGAGGCAGGGCTCCTCCTCCAATTTTTGGTTTGAATTGAAGTAGCCTTGTCTGTCTCGGGGAAACCTTAATATGTGGGGTAAGGGAATGATGCGTGAGTCTGATGCTTTGCTTTGTAACGCCCACTCGTTTGGGTTGCGAACATTGGTATTGGTTAGCGGCGGTGTTGCAGATGTGATTGGAAGCAGACCCCTACAAATTGAGACAACCTACGCATCACACCCTCACGGATGCTGCGCAGGCAATTGCACGTCAGAAAGTGGCACCAGCCACTTCCAGAAGTTGCACATGACCGACGTACTTTGGCCTGACATACATTTTGGATTGAACGTGGGACTACAGGCTGCTGGGTAGACCTCGCACGGGAGGAGGAAAAGCAGCTGGTTGTAGGCGGAAGTGGGAATTGGCAGGAGTCACGCTGTGGGGAGCTCCGTAGATGTCTGTAGGTGGTTACCCAGAGGAGGTAAAGGTGCTGAGGGCACTGCCGCGGAGACTGGAGGCGCATTTGAGCTCGGGTAGCACATAACTTGGGGACCACTCCCTTTTTGTCTTAAGTTCTAAGCAGACCTTGAGATGACTTCAACCATTGCATTGCTTGCATTTTCCCGGAATGGAGGAATGGAATGCGCAATGAGTCCGTTGATGTACTTAGACTAATGTTACCTGCTGAATTAAACTAGGTTAGGACGCTGAAGGGGTGACATCCCTTGGTCGGATTAAATTCGTGTCAACTTCGGTGCGTGGAATCAGCTGTCGTCAATATTATTTCAAATTATTGGAAATAAAGCAAGTAAATATAGAAATAACTTTTTATCCGCTACAAGAACAACAAAAATTAATGGAATAGCTTTTATTTAACGATTTCATATCATTCAAGCATTAAAAATTAATAAAAATTGCATACTAGTAATTTTATACTCCCTGTAGATAAAATATTTATTGCGTACAATGCTGATTGAATTGATATCATATTTTTATTGTTACTTTACAGGTAGCCCACGTGTGAGAATCTTCACCTGTAAGCAATTGCGCTATGCGTGGGACAATCTAACTCAATCATTTAATAAACTGAAAGGGCTTGATGTAAATGTTACAAGTGCATATTTTCATCAGCAGAAGGGTTTACCAGTTCAGGAACAAATATCCCGCCGTCTAGCTTATGGTCCAAATGAAATCACAATTCCTTATAAGAATCTAAACACTTTATTAGTTTTAGAAACGCTCAACCCTTTCTACGTTTTTCAAATTTTTTCTGTGATGTTATGGTTTACGTATGACTATTACTACTATGCATGTGTGATACTCCTTATGTCGATGTTTGGCATAATTATGTCAGTTATGCAAACTAAAAAGGTTTGTATCTATTTTATACAATTAAGGTCCGTATCATGAACTATTTCTGAATTTCGATTGCAATCAAGTATAACCATCGAAAACCTGTACATAGTTCACCTTGTACAGCGGCTTTATTTATTTTCGTTTACAAATATATTTTCTATTTATCTTAGACAAAAATACTGCTTACACTAAATTATACTTACAATGCAAGGCTTATTCTAATACAATCTGGCTTTCGTGAGTGTTGATTCTGTCTCTTATTATGTAGCGCTTGAAGAGTTTTTTATTTACGATATACGGTCCCTTAAATTTTGAAGGAAGTCGTTTTGTTTACACTAATAGTCTTCTTCAGGAAATACATTTACGCTCATGTTCTTTTACTCACTTCGGCTTAACCCGTAACTCGGTTCTTTTTTAAGCTCTCTTTAGCGATTTTGCGCACCGTTTCCAATTCCCCAGTGCAGGGTCGCTACAAACACTAGTTGATAACTAGAATCTAACTAGTTTACATTTTTACTCCAACTCCAGTTCAACTTTCCTCTATGTTCCATGTAAGATTAGTATTTTCAACACAACGATGTCTGTTTTTTGACAGTCTATGCATCAGCTTCATACTACCGTTGGTTCAAAGATGCCTTCTTTGCCTGCATCAAATTTGCGCAACGAAGCGTTATTAAATTGTTCTTGGAGTTGGTTTCCGATTGGCGGGTCCTAAAGCGATCAGCTTGCTTCAAGATCGACCTCTGTAGCACAGACGCTGCAATTAGACTTCAGCCGACTCTCCAACAGAATAAATTGGAGTGGCTTCACTGAAGCTTCCTCTCTTTTAGTTGTGACTTTAGGGTCCACAGACACATACGCATAGAGTTGGTTTCCACATCTTACACAATTGTTGCTGATGTTTCCAGGGTATGGGACGTTGGCGCAAGAGTTAGAATTGAATTTAGTCCCGCGCCCTTAACTGCACGCCTAGAAGCTTTACCACACCCTATTTCACACCGACCAAATAATTTACAATTAGAAATTGAAAAATTTGGGAAATCACTGAGACGTATTTAATAGTGCTATTATACATGTAACAAAATAATTGACCGGCAAAATATGCCATCATCTGTCAGATCTTCTTTTCGACATCTAAAATTTCATTTGCACAAAGGCTTGCTGGTATAAATATCATTGATATTTTAAGATAACATGAGGGTTAAGTGATTAAATGAATGAAAGGGACCCCTTTTTTTAGTTTCTTACCCTCTTCAGCAAGTTCTTTTAACATTGTTTAATAGCTTTAATTCAGCCAACTGTAAACTGGCAATTAAATAACTTGCAATTATTTGTCGAAATATCAGTTGGTAGGAATTCTCTGACCGAATGTGTAGATTTGGGATAACTGGTGCAATTCAATAATTTTTATCGACACGATTTATCGGATCGCAAATTTGTCGCTTGCACTAACTAAAGGGAAGAAAGATGGTACCACAGCTTAACAAAACGTCAAAATTTTCGGAAAGCACAAAAGAGAATGACGAAAACAAATGAATTTTGGAAGCAATTAGTTTTATTAAATGGGTTGCATTGGATTGTAAATTTTACCAATCGAAACCATGTCTATGTACAGCAATTTCATGCAGTAAAAAGTTAATCGCCATTGTGGCTGATTTGTTTTTTCTCTACGCAAAGGACGCGTAGGGGAGTATGTCTTGCGATTGTAAGTCTTCGTCTAGCCTTTTTTTATTGCCGCATTCACACATTTGAGTAGAACTGATATTAGAGCATTAGTCTGTAGCTTTGATAGTTTTCTGGCCTTAGGTCTTTTTTGGGATAGGTACTATTATTACTATACACCAGCTTTCTGGGATTTTGTTTATTTGAGAGATGTCATTTATTGCTTTGCGTATATGGCTTAAAGCTTTATTTGATGTTGCCTTAAGCATAGACTTTATCTTATCGAATCGAGTTTTGTTTTTATTGTTAAGTGTATGTGTAAGTTCTTCATATGCATAGCTAGATTATATTTTGGGGTTATGAGTTTGTTGATTGTTATAAGGTCTTGTGATGGTGCGATATGTGGTGTTACCATATCTAAGAATTTTTTTGATCTGTTTCATTTAATACCATTTGGCTTCTGTTGCGATAGTCTCCTCTCAAACCCTTAACAACCCTCCAAGCATTTGTGGTGGTAGGGTTTTTGCTTATTTGTTTTTATTTTTATCTTTTTTTTTTGGTCTTTTTGACCATTTTTCCCAGTTTTTTCTCAGCAAATGAGTCTAAATTTTCTATTGATGGAAAGGCGTTGCATTTTTATCTTGAAATTTTGAGAAGCATGAATGCCTTTGACAAGCTGTCATTCCACCAGTACTTGGGTTTTATCTTGTTATTTATGTCACATGTGAGGCGTTTTTTCCTGTTTTGAAAGTGTTTTCAATATGCTCGATTTCGGTGCCTAGATCTGTCTGTTTTAGTGCTCTGTGAGGTTTATTTTGACTTTACTTGAGTTTTCAAAAGTATTGGATATTGCTGTTTGAAAGGATAGGTCTAAAATGCAGCCTGTGGCCTGTCTTTTTTGTAAGTTATGGATCCATCATTTAAGAGTGAGAACTGTGTGCTTTGCATTATGTTGTATAGCTTGTTGCCCTTACTCCTTTGCAAGGTATCCCCCATGCTGCTGTTCTGGCGTTTAAGTCGCCGATTTGGTACCGTCTTCCATTTCGATGTGAATATTTTTCTTTTTACTTAATCAGCTGGCAAATGTAATTTGACATGGACGAAAAAAGCAGTGCTGCCAAAATTTCAAATGCATTCGCCGCTACAGCCAAATGCCAAATTGCGTTTTATATTTAATGGAATGTGGCTGCACTCATTTGTTTATGTTATTGTATGATCTTCATATCGTCTATTCAAACAATCCAAATAGGTAAAATTTTGACGTTTGTACTCACCACGAAAAATGTCAGATTTTCATGCTGGATGTAAAAAATTACAAGAATTCGCTCATATTGCAGCTGAGAGCCATCTCCCGTCCTTAATTCAATAGCTAATGAGCAAAAGAAACAAATCCACTGTTTTAATACTTTCGTTACGTTTAAAAATGTTAAATCGTTGGGATTAGCAATTAATTCATTATGCAAAGTGATGAAGGAGTTCGTTTCTTAAGCGTAACTTACTTCGAAAGCTTATAATTCTTTGTGGCAGAGCGTTCCAAAGATCTAGTGAAATGAACTCGTTCTAAAAGAAATTTGGGCACCTGAGTGCTAATTACTTTGTGAAGTAACATTAGGCACTTTAACTTCAGTAAAACGTAGAGGTTCATGGAAAATAATATAAAAAATAATAACCATATACGTATCTGGCGATCTTCTTGTGGAGGACATTGATTCTACTACAACACAGACCGTCACAGCTGGTACACAGCTCGCAATCATACAGTAGGATTGGTAACAAGAAAGTTCTTGCTTATAGCAATCGAATTTTAATGGTGTGAAATGCTGAATAGTCCATAAAGCACAAAGCATACCATAACCCTTACCTATTGCACTATAAATATGGTTATTCTTACACAAAGTTCTTTTTCAGATTATTCCTAGATTTCTGGAAGTATCCACGAAGTTAATAAAAATTATTTAGCTTCAGTTCACTGTAGCCTTCGAGTTTGAAATACTTTTTCTAAATGACAGTGCACTGCGAATTACTATGATTAAGAAGTAAACCATTATCGCAGGTACACTTGCTAACGCGATCTAAATCGGTATTGACAGCGTATAAATAAATTTCACAGTATTTCAATACACTTTGAAGATCGTTAACATATAAAACAAACAACAGATGCGCAAGAATATATCCTTCTGGAACACCTTTAGATACGTATAAATGGTTCGATATAACGTCACCTAGACATAGAGCTTGCTATGATCGCTTAGATACGATTTTATTAAGTACATTGCTGTCAGTGAGAAATAAAACAAATTGCTAAGTTTCAAAGCTAACGGTTCAGGGCTCACAGTATCAAAAGCTTTGAAATGATTCAAAAGTGTTAATAACATCACTCGATTTTTATCTATGTTGAGCCTGACGTCATCCGAAACCTAATTAGCGCCGTATTACAACTCTTGTTAGATTTAAAAGCTGGATTGGTAACGATTTACCTGCAAGTTTCGACTTAGGTAAGAATTTATTTGATCATGTATTTTGCGTTCCTCTACTTTAGATAAGAAAGGTAGTATTGCGATATGTATGAAGGCTCCTTTAGGTTTCTTAATCGGTATGATTTTTGCCGACTTCCAACATTGAGGAAAAACAGACGTGGTCAAAATGGTGTATAAGGCATATGTTACATAAGGAAAGATTTTAGGCAGTATTTATTTTAGTTTTTCTACTTAATAATAATAACAAAGCGTTAGTACAATAAGCTTTCCATATCTTTTTTAGTACAGAGATAGTGTGAAGAATAAGTAAATATTGCTCTACAGATACATTAACAAAAATAATAATAATATATAATGAACTGAGTATGACAAAAATTTAAACGATTATTAAATGGTCAGTCTAGTTGGAAATTTGGCTTTGATAGTCCACAATCGTACACCCTAATATCTGATCTTTTCAAGACGAGATGTGCTCATATTTGGAAAGATCAAACACATACTGTATGACATTAGTAAACATAACATCAATTTTACGAGAAGACACGCTGTCATGTGTGCTGTAAACGACTTCAGAGTACATGATAACCGGAAGAATAATTTGTATAGCAAGTCGGCGTCTAGTAGCAGTGGTTGTATAGATAGCTGACTGTCTAAGATTCCTCAGAATGAGATAGACCTTACTAACAATGGAATTAACATGATCTGTGCATGTAAGATTCGAGTTAATAATGTATCCTAAGTTTTTAATCTTGCTGATTAATTGTAAGGGACAAATGTCTATGAATTTCGGGGAAAAAAATCCAGATTTGTCAGTTTTTTAGCACTGATTGGCAGCACACAGCATTTGTTTTTATTTATAATTATTCCGCTGGCAGC